GTGAGATATATTCTCCATGTAAAATCCAATCAAAAAGTTCATTGGAAGCTTCTCTTAAGGATAAGGTTGAAAAATATGACTCTATTTGATTTTGGTCGGCTTGTGTTAAGATCGAGGCATTGTCCAATAAAGTAATTAAGTCATTTGAATTCAAGCCCTAATTGAAAATTCAATTCAAATAAATTGGATTGACAATGGAAAAAAACAATGGAATACGTTAAAGTTAAAATTGGGATTTCAAGAAATCAAATTAGATAATAATTTAGATAAATAAGTATTATTGTGACTTCTGACTCAATAACATTTAGGGAAAATTCCTGATTAGTATCATGTATTTTGAGTCTAGTGCCAATTTGGTCATCGAACTTTAAAATGCGACAATTCAATACCCAAACTTCTAAAACATGACAATTTAATACTTGTCATTAACTAGTTGTTAATCAGCCGTTAAGTGGTCTTCAAAAAAGATATAAATACCCTTCAAGTGTTATTTAATTTTCTTTATCAAATATCTAAACGTTGACAAAAAATTAACCGTCCCAAATCTTTGCCTTTTCCATTTAAGAAAGTTGGGGTCACATTTGAGTGGGCATTCTGGTGACCCCAACTTTCTTGAATGGAAAAGGCAAAGATTTGAAACTACTAAGTTTTTGTCAACATTTAGATGGTTGATAAAGAAAATTAAATAACACTTGAAGGGCATTTATGTGTTTTTCGAATACCACTTAATGGCTGGTTAACAACTAGTTTATGGCAGGTACCAGATTGTCACGTTTTAAAAGTTTGGGTACTGAATTGTCGCATTTTAAAGTTCGGGGACCAAAGTGGCATTAGGCCCAAAGTACAAGGTACTAATCGGGAATTTTCCCTAACATTTATTTGAAAAGCTTTGGGGGGCCAAGTATTAGCCCAACCTGATTGTGGGTGTACGAGATGAACTACCCCTATTTATAGGTCTAGGGATGGGAAAAGTTTGGGGGAGGGGGGGGGGCTCCACTCCTATGTATGTATGTATTTTATTAATTAAAAAACTTATTAAAAAAAGAAGGAAAGAAGGAAACTACAACTCAAGATTTAGGCCACACCCAAGAAAACCACAAACAGAATACAAAGACAGGCTCACTCACTACTGCAACAAAACAGAACCACAACACAGAAGGAACAACTACTACTAGCAACAAAAACCAACCATGGGAAGTACAAAAGCTCAGAAGACTGGAGACTTCAAAACGAAGGCATCAAACATCAAAACTCAAGGCTCTTAACGTCTAGAAACTATACTTCTTCCTCCTCTCCCTTTGCCCCTAACTGCTTTACTTCCCATTTTGTCTACCTTGAGCAATGCATCCACATAATAAAGTGTATGTATGTATGTATCATATCTTTAGGTATCCGATACACCTGTTTACATGTCTACAGGCCTACTAATATGTTTGGGTATATTAATACTTTAAACCATAGTTAAAATCTTCCGTAAAGTTTGATAATTGCAATCACCTCATATGAACTTTCTGACATAGTTGCAAGTAGACCCCCCTCTCTTAGAATATCTAACAAAAATGTATAAAATGTCCAAATACCCATGCAATTACTAATGAGATAGGTTTCTACAGAAAAAAATAATAATAATAAGAGTTTAAAGTTGCAACTTCACCTTTGAAAATTTGATATGAAGGGTAAATTTAGGCCATGTTTGGTTCAATTCTCATTCTTTCTCATTCTTACCAGAGATGAAATTTTAAAATGGAAAAGAATGGGTAAAAATAGGCACAATGAAAAAATTCTCATTCTTTCTCATTCTTTTTCATTCTTGGGTAAGAATGAGAAAGAATGAGAATTGAACCAAACATGGCCTAAATTTACCCTTCATATCAATTTTTCAAAGGTGAAGTTGCAATGAAAAAATATTGCTATGAACCAAACACTTTTTTCCTAAAATTGAATTCTTTTCAGACTGACAAGTGTCCTATGTTGCTCATTTTCATTCTTCAAAAAATAAAAATTGTGTCGGAATTCATAAATCGCTAGCCTAGGTCTCCAATAGTCAATGTTTACCAATTGGAATAGATGTTTTGCAAAAATACTTATGTAAAGTGCTTTTATAAAAGTAATTTCATAAAAATGCTTTTATACAAGTTCTTTTATAAAAGTACTTTTGTACTTTCGTAAAAGTGCTTTCATAAAAGTGATTTCATAAAAGTACTTCCATAAAAGTACTTTCGTAAAAGTGCTTTTGTAAAAGTACTTCCATAAAAGTGTTTCTATAAAAGTACTTCCATAAAAGTGTTTCTATAAAAGTACTTCCAAAAAGTACTTCCATAAAAGTGCTTTCGTAAAAGTACTTTCGTAAAAGTGCTTTTATAAAAATACTTTTGTGAAAGCGATTTTATAAAAATGCTTTCATAAAAGTACTTTCGTAAAAGTGCTTTTACAAATGTACTTTTGTAAAAGTGGTTTTGTAAAAGTATTTTCATAAAAGTGCTTTTGTAAAAGTACTTTTATAAAAGTGCTTTCATAAAAGTGCCTTTGTAAAAGTGTTTTCATAAAAGTACTTTCGTAAAAGTGTTTTTATAAAAGTATTTTCGTAAAAGTACTTTAGTAATGTACTTTTATAAAAGTGCTTTCATAAAAGTACTTTCATAAAAGTGCTTTCTTAAAAGTACTTCCATAAAAGTGTTTTCATAAAAGTACTTCAGTAAAAGTGCTTTTATAAAAGTATTTTCGTAAAAGTGCTTCTATAAAAGTTCTTTCCTAAAAGTGCTTTCATAAAAGCGTTTTAATGTAAAAGTACTTTCGTAAAAGTGCTTTAATAAAAGCGTTTTAATGTAAAAGTATTTTTATAAAAGTGCTTTCGTAAAATTATTTTTACAAAAGTGCTTTCACAAAAGTAAACATCCATGGCAACAGTTTTATAGGTAAAGTTTCCTCAAGGAATGAAATGAGCAAGATGGGGCATGATTATTTTTCATGCTGCAAGGTAGTCAATTTTTGTGCAATGGGGCTGATTTTTCATTCTAAAATGAATGTGGCCCTTGGCAGGAATTTTGTAGCCAAACACTCTTATGTTATTCATTCTTGCCTAGAATGAGCAAGAATTAAGCAGTGACCCAAACATGGCCTTAGAAAATAAATTAATTTTGGAAAAGAGATTGAAAGGGTTTGAGGTAGTGATTGATATGAATAAAAAATTTAGAAAATAAACATTTTGGTCAAAAGTAACTATATGAGTATTTTGGACATTTTGTGCCTCTTGTTAGAGAATTTTAAAAGAGGGGGTCTAATTGCAACTGTGTCAGAAAGTTCATGGCAGGTGATTGAAACTACCAAACTTCAAGGGAGGCTTCAACAATTTGCTCATAAATACATATGTAATATAGATGCATGCATACACATATATACACATTTAAATTTACACACAAATAAATTTCTAATATTTATAATTATACTTACAAATATGAAGTTAAATCGGGTTCAGGTTGGTCAAGACCTCAACCTGATGTTAAATCAGGTTAATTAATACTTTTCAACCCTAACCAACTTTAACATGACCCAACCCAAAGTACGTTGTTCATGCTAACCCAACCCTAGTTGCAGCCCAAAGTGCAATACATGTTCCAGCAAGAGCTTTTCACGCGCATGGGTTGATTGGGTTTAAAATAAGGGTCAGTTGGTTCGCAGTTGGAATCGGAATCAGAATCAGAATGGCCTATTCCCATAGTCTGTTGGTTTAGACAAGAATGGGAATAGAAATTGGAATAAACAGGAATGAGATTTCATTCAAAGGGAGAGACAGGGAATGGTCATTCCCTTAAATGGGGAAACGTCATTCCAAAAGGAATGAGAATGAGATTCCGGTTCCGCCCAACCAAATAGTTAAAATCAGAATGGGCCATTCTAATTCTGATTCCAGACTCCTATTCCCATGAACCAAACAGGATCTAAAGTCTTTCTGCTCATGTTTTACATTATTATCTTTCAATCGGGCTTTGTTATATATACAAACAAAATTTGTAGCTGATTTGAAGAAATTATGCGGGATTAGGTCTTGATTTTTGACTTTTTGGTCTGAATTCCCTTCAAGTTTTAACAAATTCTGAAGCCATGCCCCCCCAATTTTCACCCCTTGATAAAACTCAGCATGGTAATTAATCATCCAACATGTGACAAAAGAACCCTTTTATTTGCACACCCTTGTTTATATAAAGACTGTCCTCGTCTGTTAATAAATATTTGGCAATAGAAAACATTTTACCTATAAAATGGGATTTCTCCATAGTTTCAATAGTTAGCTCTAGCCCTGAAAATGCAAACTTGGTATGAGAAGAGCCATTCGACTATCTAATTTAGAGGTCTAAATCTGCAATGCCATACCTTTCACAGGTAATTAAAGAACCATTACCTTACAATTTTCAGATCTCAAATAGCAAATCAAGGCTTCAAAAGTAGTTATTAATACTTATTGAATAATTATTATATAATAAATAATTGCTCATCTAAAAACATACGTGAGACATATATGTGCATTTCAACCATTTCAGGGTAGCTAAGCTTTTAACCTTGACAACGTCTGGTGAAAAGAAGGAAAAAAAAAAAAAACACAATCAACAAGTTAGCTGCAGAAATTTCTATTCGCCAACATTTCCATTGGGCTCTGTTTGGTTTGATAAAAACTTAAGAGAAACAGAGAGTTGAGAGAAAGTTCCTTACATTAAAAGGACCATAAAGCACAATGTTCAAAGGTAATTAAGCAATTCGTTGTTTACAGTTATACAAAAAAATCAGACTGACCTTACAAGTTACAAAACAATAAATATATAAATTGAAAAAAAAAATAAAAATGAGAATTATTAATGAACTTATCAAACAACACTAACCCAGAATAGAGGAAGAAAAATAAAATCACAAAAGAATAGCACTGCCTACAATTACATCCATCACCATTGCTCAGAAACATTACTAGCTTCTGTCGTTCCTTGTTTAACAAAAGCTATCATGAAGATTCAAGTTCTCTTGTTGGGTTCAAAGACATACTTAATGATTGAATCTTTGATAGATAACAATCCTGGGAACTCCTTTTGTAGCTTTGAAGCATCCAACTCGTTGTTGCTCCTAGGAGCCACAATCACCTTGGCTTGTTCGTCCAAGCTGAAGTTCACCCATTTGAATTCTGGGTCTATGTAGTTTCTATACATCTCTAGAATCTCATTGTGGCTCACCACACCTGGGTTAGTGAAGTTCCAGATCCCTCTGCAATTTCTCTTTGCCATTTCGATGGAGATAGGTAAGAGCTCGTCTAGCACTGTCATGCTGTTAGGAATGTTGACCACTTTGTTGTAGCGTGTGATCTTCGTGATAAAATTTCGTGGGTTGTTGAGATCAGATGAAATTGGCATACGAACTCTGAGAGTGCAGACATTATCATATTCTCTTAAGAGTTCCTCCACCTGCATAATCATGGCGTGTAATAATCAATGCTGTTAAATTTTCCTTTAATCACATATAGGCTAGAGGACCTCATTTGTTTACTTAGATCAACATTCAGTAAAAGTCAGCGCTGCAAATGATATTTGTTTGTCCTAACTTTAGATCGAATCCAATTCATTAGGCTGTGTTTGCTTTGATCCAGCTCCATCCAATCTGAAGATATTTAAAAATATACACGCTTATATCTAAATAAAAAAAATTAGGGATTTTGAATGTCATAAGATCACCAAGGCTGCATTTGGTTTGATAGAAAATAAGAGAAAAACAGAAGAGAGTTGAGGAAAATTCTTAAGGAAATTAAAAGTATAAAATTGTTAAAAACTTTTCCTCAAACTTTTTTTCTCTCTCTTATTCTATCAAACTAAACATAGCCTAAAGGTTCATATCTGAATGCAGGTTTGCATTTCTGGCTCAGTTATTGGGAAAAGTGCAAATACAAATATGTACAGTATCATATAATTATACATAGTATCGAGTTGAAAAAGCTCACTTTGGAAAGAGTGTACATTGCAAATACATACAAAATAATATAAAATACAAGGGTAGGTTTTGTGACTCTAGATCTCCTGCCCACGAGAACTCTGCCCACATCTACCCACAACACACTACCTCCGTGAATTGGGAACATCTCCCCCTACATAATACTATGTAGGAGGATGAGATATTCTCCATGTGTAGGTGTGATGTAATGTGGGTAGACGTGGGCAGAGTTTGTGTGGGCAGGAGATCCGGACTCAGGTTTTGCACTCTACAGATTTGTATTTGTACTCTTTCCAAACTGAGCCAAGAACAAACTCAGGCACAATGGGTCAACACTGAAAAGGAAAACGCAGAAATTATAAAGAGCAATTAATATTGTTACCATGGCCTTGGTCTTGGAGTAGAAGGAACCAATGAAATTTGGCTTGTCTTCCTCCTTGAATCCAATGCCTGACCCTTGAGGGTGCGCACCATCATATTCAAAAATGCAGCCAGTGGCAAAATTCATCATCAAAAGTCCCCTCTCCCTGCAAACATCGGCCAAGGTGAGCGTCCCAACCACATTAGTCCTTATTGTCTCCACCTTATGTGATTCACACCAATCTACATTGGGCCTGCCCGTCACACCAGCTGCATTAAACACATGGGTAGGCTTTGCCCTCCTTATATCCTCCATTAACGACCTTCTGTCCTCCAATCTCCCTCTCCCATACTCAAAGTCTATCCCTCCTTTCTTACACAACCCTCCAAGCAATCCCCCTATCCAACCCGTTTTCCCATAGATCAAGAATTTCAACCCTGATCTCTCACCAGACCCACCTTCAGCAGCAGCATTATTGCTGCACCTCATCCGGTAGCCGTGTTGCAGAAGGAAGGCATCGTCATCTGAAGGACCCATCATTGACATTCTCGGGTGTGGAAGAAGAGCAGCAGTCACATCGCCCCACCAGTTGGGGTGCTTCGTGTACCATTCCATCGTCTTCCTGAGTCCTTCCTCCCATGGAGTCCTCTCCTCCCACCCAAGTTTCTTGAGCTTCTGATCATCCAAGAAATATCTCTTATCATTAAAAGGCCTGTCCTGAACAAACTCTATAACGTCTTTAGCATTCAACCCAAAGATCTTGCATATATCCTCAGCCACGTCGATCACTCGCCTCTCCTTCTTGGTGCCAATGTTGTACACGTGGCCAATCACACCTTTGTGCAGTACCACCTCGAATGCCTCTGCAACGTCCTCACAGTACAGGTAGCTCCGCACGTTGGAGCCATCACCATGTATGGGTAACGGCTGTCCCTTCATTCCCAGGAGGATGAACTTTGGTATGAGCTTCTCAGGGAACTGGTTCGGCCCATAGACATTGTTGCCTCGCGTTGTGATTGTGGGGAGGCCATAAGATCGGTGATAGGCCATGACCAGCATTTCAGCTCCGGCCTTGGTGGCCGAATAAGGATTAGTGGGCAGGAGCTGGGAGGCCTCACAGTTGCCAATGTCGGTCTCTGCATCGGTCTCTCCATACACCTCGTCGGTGCTCACATGAATGAAGCGCTTGATCTGGCGGGTGACCTTGCAAGCCTCGAGCAGAACATGGGTGCCATAGATGTTGTTGTTTGTGAACTCGAAGGAGTTGCCGAAGGAATTGTCGACATGGGTCTGCGCTGCAAAGTGCATTATGGTGTCAATGTCTTCGGCAACCAAGAGGTGATTGACGAGGTCTGAGCTCATGATGTCACCCTTCACGAACTTGAAATTTGGGGAGGATTGAGAAGGGAGGAGGTTCTTGATGCTGGAGCAGTAGTCAAGTTTGTCAAGCGCAACAATGTTGTAGTTGGGGTAGTTTTTAATGAGACGGTTGGTGACATGGGAGGCTATGAACCCTGCCGCCCCTGTTAGGAGGATGTTCTTTGGAGTGTACGTATCATCTGTTTGGGGTAGCATCTTTTTGTCTAATGTCTCTCTCTCTCTCTCTCTCTCTCTCTCGATCAGTTAACTCAATGTAGTTTTAACTGAAACAGGAACGAGAAAATAGGTTAAACTGCAGCGTTGTCTAGAGATCAAATGATTCCAATGGAAGAAATGAAATAGGTTCAAGAGGGAATCATATATAGTTCGTTGGAGACAATCAGACAATAGAGGGTCTGCTTTGATTACGTGGCTAAGACGCCGGAGAGATGGTGTGTGTAAGGATTTGGAATTAGTTTTACCAAGTAAAAGAGAAAGTTCAGGATCTGGTTGCAAAACTTTTGGGTATCGGTCTCTCTCAGACTCTGAATCTCATTACTGGTCCCTACAATTTTTGAGCAGTTCCTTAGGTATGGGTGTGGACAGTGGCATCACGTGAGCCTACTTTCTCGCCTTTCTAATGTTATCCACTTCTTACAAAGCATACATATGGGCCTACCTCATGGGCTGAGTGGTTGAAATATGTTGAAGCTTAAGCTGACTGTTGATCTTGTAATATTGGTGGAAGATTTCGGGGATTTCTAATAAGTTCATGATTTCAATTCCAACCATAACATAAACTAAACCATGAGTAGGTTTTTTTATATATATATACAAAAGGATCCACTAGAAACACCAAGGATACAAAAGGAAGGAGCCCCCTTTTACAGAAATGAGAAGATGACCTTAGGGAGAGTAAGCTCGAATAAAAAAGATGGGTTCTATTTACATTTGCCCTCTTAGCTAGATTGTGGGCATTATTAACATCATTCCTACATACATAGAGCAGATTTATATCTTCAAAAAGATTAAGAAGATACTTGATATGCTCCATAAGTGCATGTCCATTCCATCTAATGTTTCTTGTGGTTCCCTTTATCTTCATCAAAATATCTTTAGTATCAAAGATTAGAGTAGCTTTACGAATCCCTAAGAGAGCAAGTTTCCTTAAGCCTCTGGTGATTGCCTAGAGTTCAGCTTCTAAGGCCTCACTTGCATGGCATTGTTGTCCTTTTGTGTTAGGTGTTGGTTGTTGTTTCAGCTAACTATGGGTGCATGCAAACTGGAAAAAAAATTTTAGAAGAGAGGATTTTGATGAGAGTGAATTTGGCTCTCCAATGACATTGTGACATATGACATCTTGGAATAATTGGATGACACATGGACACCACCTAAGTGATGACTTAGAGTCCCATATCGCAGTTTCTCTTCACCCCGACCTGGCGACCTGCCTTCATCGCCAACCTAGTGACCTCGACCACAACTCATGTCAGCTAGAAGCACCTCGTCCAGGGCTGACCTGTAGCACTTTGTCACTAGCTGAAGTGACCTCGACACGAGGAGCAATCTCCCTTGAAGGTGTGCCGGCCTAACTGAGGTCCCTGTGGCGACCTGCGAGACGTGCTCGCTGACAAATTCAGCATGCATATCCCAACACTCACATGTTTCTTGGAAGTTGGCCCACGTACCGAATGTTCCAGAGGATGGTCAATGTGTTAGTAGTTACCTCCGAGGATTTTGGACCAGTAAGGCACGACCCCCCGGAAATCTCGGATGTAGTGCGTGAGGCCCACACCAAATAATGCCTATATAAAGGCACCAACCCCAATGACACGGAGGACACGCAATTAAGTACATTCTAACTCTCATGCTTTCTGATTTTTAGCTCGCAATCTACTACAAGAGTACTAACTTAAGCATCGAAGCGACCTCGTCGGGTTAGCCACCCCGAGTCCTCTGACACTGTTTCCTTACAGGTCTCTTCGAAGAGCCACCCATCTCGGCACCCGAGTAGCCTCCAAATTCAATCCAATCAGTTCGACATCCAAGCCTTTATCTAGCAAAAATACTCCAGCTTGACCTCTGAGTCATCGGACACCAGAAAGTAGTCAGAACAGTAGGGGACTGCCCAAAAAACACTTCATCAATTGGTGTCGTCTGTGGGAAATGCTACAAGAAGCTAAGTTCTCACCTTTTAAAAGGCAAATCCCTCTTCTTCCAGAAAGCTAAGATCTCACCTTTTAAAAATTTAAGTTCTTACTCTCTAATTTCCATTTTTTACTAATTCAAAGGCATTTTTAAGCAACACCAACATCGAGAACAACGAATCAATTACTGGGGGGGGCAAGAACATGAGAACCCTCCTCCATGACAATCAAGAAGCTCGGTGCATTCTAGCAATCAACAGCAGAATGACCTCAGTAACCAGTAGTCTGGTGACAAGCACCTCAGAGTAAGGCCGCCTCTACAAGTCGAAACATTCATGGTTCTCGCAGGAGTTGATGGCCAACCAATTAAGCAGCTCTAGCAACCTCATTTCAGCCCGGACGAGCCTTGTTAGCCTTCTTTGCGAGGTCTCACCTATAGGTTGAACCCTTTGTGGCTCCCATGGGAATTAGCGGCCTACGGACTGTACGGGCACCCTTGCTAGTCGAGCCTTTCAAGGCTCTCGCGCGAGTTGGCAACCTACAGCTAGTCAGGCTGCTTCCGTAGGTCGAGCTCCCTATGGCTTCTCATAGGAGCTGACGACCAACGTCTCCGAGGGCTAATGTTGAAAGTAAAGACAAAACCCGCAAACAGAATAGAAACGATTTACCAGCCCGAGCGAGCCTCACCGATCTAACCCAAACTACCTCCAACCCGAACTGTGAAGCCTCACTACAGATCGAGCTTTTATGGCCCCCTGAGAGTTGGAAGCGAGCTAAAAGTGGAACAACTCTCATAGGTCGAGCCCCTTATAGTTCCCGTGAGAGTAGGCGACCTACAGACAGCAGAGCCGGCCCCTTAGGGTGAGCATCCCATGACTCCAATAGAAGCAGACAGTCAACAGTTCCAGTTGTAGTATGCCATGATCTTGCAAGCACATTCCCAAGGAAGCCAATCTCAAGTGACGATGTAGAAGTAGCCACATCTAAGGGTACAACAGAATGACCACCCGCTTAAGCGAACTGGTCAAGCCAGACGTTTGCAAAATAATATTACAAAGAGTGGACTATGACTCGCTCCCAAAGCCTAAGGGCTAAACCTCGGCACCACATGAGATCCAGTCCCTCTTCAGCATAGGCAAAATCAAGGATAAGGAGAGTGGACCATGAGTCGCTCCCAAAGCCTAAGGGCAAGGGTGTCAAGTTGATAAAAGACCTCGGCACCACATAAGACCCGATCGCCTCTTCTGCATGGGTGAAATAAAAAGCAGTTCACATTCAGCACGAGAAAGAGAACAAAGGAAAGACTAGTTTGCTCTCAGCACCATGACGGATGCAAACTTGGTCGATCTCTTCACTTTGGTTTTAGGCTCTGCGTCGAACTCACTGGCTACTTTTTTAGAACCAGTTCGAGTGACACTGCGTCAAAGTCTACCTAGGTGGAGCGACCTGATAAAGGAGTCACACAAAACCCCTTCTTAAGGATGGCATGATGACCTTCGCTCTTGAGGTACTTAATCGGATTGCATAACCCCTTGATGGTTGCATCCTTAATTGAAGGGATGGGAGATCCATCATATGGATGGCCGAACCCTACAGGAAAGTGGGGCGAAATTTCAAAAATTTCTTTACTCCCATCTGGGAATCGTATTCCCAATTTAGAAAACTGCATTTTCAAGGTTCGTTCTTGTAACCAAATCGGACCAAATCTGAAACCAAGATTAGGGAAGGATATACATGATACAGAATCCATGCAAAAATGCTCCTCCCAATGCAGGTGTTCACGCCCAAAGAATGTACCAAATCCTCCCTCCCCTGAAGATGACACTACTTAGGATGAGGCAGGATTAACAGGTAGTTCTTCACCAAGAACCTTTGAATCTTTAGTAATAATCAAATGGGGTAGTGAGCACAGTTTCAAAATTGTTTGTTCTAGCAAGAAACAATATCAAGATCTAATCTTGACCAGTTCCAAGAAATGGAGATTGAATAGGGTAGGGCGGCAAGAGTAGGAAGAGAAAGAACTGAAGGCACAAACAGTCAAACTGTGTTCTCTTCTGTATTGTTGTTGTAATTTTCAGATCTTCCCTGTTCTCTATTCATATCCTTAAAGAGATGATCTCCTAATCTGATTAGGAGTTTCTTGATCCAAATCTTTATTTGGATTTGAACTCTTTAAGTAATAAGAATAATCCCTTATCTTATCTGTAGATCAAGATCAGCTTTTCCTAATCAAATTAGGAGTTCCCTAATCCAAATCTCTATTTGTTTGGATCTTGACTCTTTAAGTGGATAAAAGTTATCCTCTTATCCTTATCTGTTGATTCATACCCATATTCGCTCATATTTAATTAATCTAATTAACCCAGTTCGAAATGGGCTTTAGGCCCATTAAGCTTTTAGGCTCACTTCCTTTTTATGTTGGCTAGCTTGGCTCTCTTTGTATGGTGTGGGACCCTATCATTGATCTACACATCAGCCACATGGCTTCAGCCTAGCCTCTGTTACAAGGCCTGGCCGAATTCACTG